GTCAAAAGCAATCCTGAAAAAGATAGATGATGGCCGTTTTAAAGGTAAAGTCGCCTTTGATATGTTGAGGGATGCGACCCTTGCTGACTTAAACAGCTTTCTTACCTATCTTACTACCTATCCCGATGGTTATCGCGGTATGAATTTCTGGATCAGTGAATCGTTTATGGGATGGATTGTCAGCAACGCTCCCTATAGTTATCCCGAAGTAAAAGCAGCCCTCTACCCGATTTATCGTAACAAAGAATTGTTACTAAAAAAGATCGCTCCCTACAAAGCCGATATCATCAAAGAAAAAGCCTGTCAGTCTTTTGCCGTGGAAGCAAGCAACTTTTCAGACAACCGGCAATATGATTCAGCTTATAAGATGATCGACTTCGCCATGACGATCGCCAACGCCGTCAATGATACATTTGGCAAAGCCGCTGTTCACCTGTTGAAAGCACAAATCGACCAGGACCTCGAAAAATATGCAGACGCGATCAAAGAGTGTGATAACGGTTTAAAATATTCCAGGTTGTTTAAGAATGCCTACGATACATCACGCTACATGGAATTTAAGGAAAACGAAGCGAGATTACTGATCAAGAAAGGATTTTGCCAGTATAAGATTTCATTGTACAAGGACGCAAATCGTACGCTGGAAGAAGCCCGCATGCACCTTGAAAATAACAAGACCGTCCTGGGCGAAGCACTGTACGCCGGACTACTGGTCAAAAGGGAAGAATATGTAGCCATGATCAATTATAATGATGGCAACTATGTCGCGGCGCTTTCCAGTATCAGCAATGCCATATCCATCAATGACAGGGTAAACAGCACAGATTCCCGTGCACGGAACGCTTATAACTATTGGTTGAAAGGGAAGATCTATAACCAGCAAAAAAATTCAACGGACGCGTTATCGGCCTTCAGCCAGTCAAAAAGTATTTATGCAGGAAGGAACGATGAATTGAACATGGCCATCGTGCTCAATGAAGTAGGATATACTTATTATAATCTTGCCGAATACAGGAAAAGTATTGCCTGCCTCGATACCGCTTACCAGCGTTTATATTCACTTAAGGATTACAATTCTGCCGGTTATTCAAAATCACTGACGGGTAATTGTTATTGGGAAATGGGAATGTATGATTCCGCCATCAGTGCCCACCAAGAAGCTATTTCGCTTCGGAAAGACAATGAATCCGGGCTTGCCTATTCATGGGAACAACTAGGAAGCCTGTACAAACTAAGCGGTTTGAAAGATAAAGCCATGGACGCGTACAAGGAAGCACTAATGCATAACCGCCAGCTTGGCGATAGCACCGGTGTAGCGGGTATTTTCAAGGAACTGGGTATCCTTTACCACAACGATGAGTTTTACTCGATGGCAGTTTCCTTTTATGAACGTGCGGCTAAGATTACACCGGAAGTGCCAACCTATGCACTTTATAACCTCGGTAATGCCTGGTCCTATCTCGATACAACGAAAGCCAAAAATTATTTCAAAGAATGCGAGCGCGTGAGTGAAAAAAACAAGGATTATGGTTATCTCTTTAACGCGCAAGTAGCACTTGCATCGATGGGTTACCGGTATA